TCCCTGTTGAGCCCGGATGCCCCTGGTCCCCCCACCCCCGTCCCCCTCTTGCTGGAGCTGGGTGTCCCCTCGGGCCAGCCGTCAGCCAAGAGCCCCCGGCGCGAAGAAGAGAGACGCGGTGAGTGGCGGATTGCTGGCCGGCTTGGTGGTGGAGGGGAGCGGGGCAAGCGCATAGGTGTCTGCGAGGCCCCAGACCAGGGCGCTGGGCACGCCTGAGGGAACTGAGTTCTAAGTGCAGCCACCCAGAGGTCAGGGGTGGGGTGGGGCCCGGCCAGGCTGGTTGTGAAATAATAGAAGCAATGATAATGATGACAGTGACAGTAGCCGACCCCTGGTTGCTTACTTGTGCCAGGAACTGTTCCTAATGCGTTAGAGAGGTCGTCTCATGTAACGACCACGAGAACCCTGTGAACTAGCTACTCTTATTAGACCCATTTTTTAGATGAGAATATTTAAGGCACAGAGAGAGCAAGGGACCTGAGGCTCCCGCTTGGAGGTGACAGAGCTAGAATCCAAGCCCAGGCCCCTCAGCTCTAGAGGCCTGGCTCTGACCTGCTTCCTAGTAAACAGATGCACCATGGAGCATAAGGGGCCACAGAAGTTATGAGTCAAGTAGCTTATTGTGCAGATGGGGAAACTGAGGCCTGGAGCAGGGCCATGCCTCTTGGCGACACCCAGGAGTAGGTGGCCACCTGACCCTGTGCCCCTCCCCTCTTCATAGGACGTACTGTCTCGCCCCCACCAGGAATATCTCGCTCCGCTCCTGGCACCCCGGGCACCCCACGCTCACCGCCCCTGGGTCTTATCAGCCGACCTCGGCCCTCACCCCTTCGCAGCCGAATCGACCCATGGAGCTTCGTGTCAGCCGGGCCACGGCCTTCACCCTTGCCCTCACCACAGCCTGCGCCCCGCCGGGCACCCTGGACCTTGTTCCCGGACTCAGACCCCTTCTGGGACTCTCCACCTGCCAACCCCTTCCGGGGGGGCCCTCAGGACTGCAGGGCGCAGACCAAAGACGTGGGTGCTCAGGCCCCATGGATGCCGGAAGCAGGGCCTTAAGTGGGCTGGGCTGCTCCCTGCCACTTCAGCAGCCCTAGAAGAGTCACAGTATACACTGGAATAGGAGCCCGGCAAGCCTCTGTAGCTGCCTTGGTTTCCCCAAGGGACCCCGCCCCCTTTGGGGGTCAGGAACACTACACTGCACAGGAAGCCTTCACACTGGATGGGGGCCTGCACCCCCCACACACCTGCAACCTGTGGGTCTCTCAACTTACCTGCCCCACTGGGGCCCAACACTGTACCCAGCTGGTTGGGAGGACCACAGCCTGTCTCAGGGAATTGCCCCCAGGGGTGGTGCCGGGAGGAGGGGAGGTGCGAGGGAGAGGGGCCAGCCTCAGCTGTCACCAGCACTTTTGACCAAGTCCTGCTACTGTGGCCCCTGCCCCAGGGCTTAGTGCCTGGACCCCCCTGCCCTGGGGGTTCTCTGGGTGTCTTCTTGCTGCCCCGGCCAGGGTCGGGGCCTCAGCCTCGGGATCCAATGAAGCCAAATAAACTCCCCAAACACAGCCTGTCACCTTTCTTAGAAGTAACCAAGGATCCAACCCCTTACACAACCCTGGTGACTTCACGCCCCCAGCAAAACGAGCAGTTGACCTGGGCCTGGGCTGGTGCCTTGCACCACACCCTTCCCCTCGGATCGGGTCCACCGGCCTCAGCCAGGAGGCCCTCGTCAGCCTCCCCGGCACCCACACGCACTGGCCTCACCCACCGTCTCCCCACCCTTGCCAGGCCTTTCCCACCATTTCAAGTGACGCTTCACCCTGATTCATCCTGCTGCCGGAAGATCCTTCCTTATCCTCAGGGCCCGGCTGTGATGTTGCCTCCCCGGGGACTCCTCTGGCTGTGCTGCTCTCAATCTGGGCAGCCCGCAGAACTCGGAAACCCACAGCCCTCTGGGTAGCATCTTGGGGGTTTGTTCTGAGTGTATATCCCACGGTCTGGACCCAGGAAGGGTGAACCCCTGGCACCTGGCTCCACTCACACTTCCCTTACTGCCACAGGGTCCTGCCGTTTATAGTCCAGGCTCCCCTCCCCGACCCCTTCACTCTCCATGGCAGCCAGACTCACTGTGTCTCCAGTGTCCAGCAGAGTGGGACTCAAGGGGGTGGGGCAGAAAAGGTTCCCAGGAGGGACTTAGAGACCTAACAGCAGCATCTCTCCAGGGCGCTCTGTGAATTCTCAACTCCTTACCTCGCCACCCCTGTCCCTACTAGACCCATCCCAAATCCCACATTCCTTTCCCACTCTGCTGCTCAGGGCACTGCCCTTCTATCCAGGATGCCTACAGTAGCCTCCCCACCCACCCTCCATAGGTCCCCTGGAGCACACTTGTCCTCGAGAGTCTGTGTCCTTACCCCCTTGCCCTCCCCCCATAGCCAGTTCCCTGTTCCTCTCACCCCCCAGCTCTTTCTCTGCTTGACTGGCCTCTTGTACCCACAGCTGAATGTCACTCCTACAGGGGCCTTCTCAGAACGCTTTCCCATAATCAAGGGTTTCCTTCAGGGAGCGAATGACAAGGTGAACATGTCATATTTCCTTGCTAACAGGTTTCTTGTGTGAATATCAGAAGGAAAGGGACCTATGTCTGTCCAAGGTGTCCTCAGGATCTAAACCCCTGCTGAGTGGATGAATGGAGTACGTGTGACTGAGTGTGTCCTTCAAAAAACCACTAAGGTGTGACTCTGAGCCAGTCACTTACCTCTCTGGGCCTCGCCTTCCTCCACCCAGCCCTCACCACCCCAGCTTCAGGGAATTGGGCAAATAATGGCCCCAGAAACTGGGAGGAGTGAGCCACCTCACCTCTAAGCCGGAGCTGCCTCCTCTCCTCCAGTCCAAACTCACCCCAGCTATGTCCCAGGCTTCCCTCCCTCTCGGCCGCCCACACAGCAGTTCCTCCCAACCCCACCTGCCGGCCCCTCCCAGGTGCCTGCGGTGGAGCAGCCAGCTCCCAGGGCACCTCAGACTCCTTGGCGGCACACCATGGGGGGTCTAAGGCCCTGGGCCCGGTATGGACTCCTGGTTGTGGCCCACCTGCTGGCCCTAGGACTTGGGGCTGTGGTGCTCCAGACCCTGGAGGGGCCTCCAGCACTCCGGCTTCAGGCCAAGCTCAGGGCTGAGCTGGCCACTTTCCGGGCGGACTACGGGGCCTGCCTACCACCTGGGGCACTGGAGGAGCTGCTGGGCAAAGCCCTGGCAGCCCAGGCCCATGGGGTCTCCAGACTGGGCAATGGCTCAGAGGCCAGAAACTGGGATCTGCCCTCGGCTCTTCTCTTCACTGCCAGCATCCTCACCACCACGGGTAAGGCCGCCAAGCGGCCGGGAAGGAGGGGGCTCCTGAGGCCATTGCTCCCTGGGGTCCTGGGGGTGTAGCCCTTCCCCCAATCCCAAAGTGCCAGACAGAGCCCAGGCCCTATTAAGCGTGACATCACAGCTGGGGCTCTTCACATCAACACACCCCAACTGGTGCCTCAACTTCAGCTGCCAGGAGAGGTGTGGCCTCCCCAGCCCCACTCCCAAGCACCCTTTGAGACCCAGGAGAGGTGCTCGACCCCATGGGCCTGAGGCGAGGCAGGGAATATATTGTGGGATGGCTTCTTGGATGGAGAGAAATGGAATGGACTTGGGGAGCACAGGAGGGAGTGTGAGGGGAGCAAGTCCTGAGATGTGAGCTAAGGCCTGAGGGCACAGAGATGAAGAGATTCCTGGCAGAGGGAACAGCATGTGCGAAGGCCCAAAGAAAGCAAGCAATGGGGTTTTTTTTGGTCCTGCATAGTCTCTAAATACTTTTGAAAATGAAAGTCTGTTTTCCAACTTCTTTTGGAAAAATCAGAACATTTGCGCGGAGCCAGAATCCCCGCAAGGCCACATACTGGCTGGAGCAGGACGAGGCCTGCCCGTTTGGACAGAGCACGTGCTCTCCAGGCCATCCCAGTCCCCACCGCTCCCTCTTGTCTCGCATCTGGCCCCTCTAGGCGTTTGAGTCTACAAACTCTGGACTAGCTGATCCTGTTCTCCCAGCACGCCCTGCTCCCTCACCGCCCCTTCTTTGCACATGCCTTCTGACTCTGAGTGCCCGGCTCGTGCAGGCTGTCTCTTTCGCAGCTCTTCATGTCAAGTGTCTTGACTGACTCTCCCGTCTGTCTCCCCCACTGAATGGCGAGGCCTAAGCAGACTCGGATTCCAGCACAAGGCCCAGCACAAAGCCCAGCACACAGGATAATGCGCTATACCTTTGGGGAGCGAAAGAGTGGGTGTTCTGCCCAGTGGATGTGGAAGTATCTATTAGTCAAGGGCAGAACTGAGGACTCACAAAGCCAGGCTCCCCCTGGGGCAGAACAGTTCTCAGAATTGTCTCAGCTGCAAGAGGCCTGAGTGCAGACTGTCTCTTTTAACTCTTTCATTTTCCAGAAAATAAAAGAGTAGCCCAGAGACTTACTTGCCCAAGACCCCCAGTGAATGAGGAGCAGAGCCAGACAGGGCAGTTCCAGCAATCTCTGCCACTAGAGGGCAGCCCTCGGCTGAGGTGATGTTGGGGAAAGTGGGGACCCTATCAGTCCTTCCACATAAGTGCTCATTGCCCATTGTCTCTCTCCTCTCCAGGTTATGGCCACATGGGCCCGCTGTCGGCAGGTGGAAAGGCCTTTTGTGTGGTCTACGCGGTCCTGGGGCTGCCAGCGTCTCTAGCACTTGTGGCCACATTGCGCCACTGCCTGCTGCCTCTGTTCAGCCGCCCAGTTGCCTGGGTAGCTGTCCGCTGGCAGCTGGCACCAGCGAGGGCTGCGCTGCTGCAGGCAGCTGGACTGGGCCTGCTAGTGGCTGGTACCTTCGTGCTGCTACCAGCATTGGTACTGTGGGGTATGCAGGGTGACTGCAGCCTGCTGGAGGCCGTCTACTTCTGCTTCGGTTCGCTCAGCACCATTGGCCTGGGGGACCTGCTGCCTGGTCGTGGCCGTGACCTGCATCCAGTGCTTTACTACCTTGGCCAGATTGCACTTCTTGGTGAGTCCAGCTGCCAAGGAGCACTACGGGGAAGAGAGGAGGGAAGAGGAGCCTGGACTACAACTCCCATAAACCAGAGGGGGGGGTGGTGAAGGCTAGCCTCACAGGTGGGGGGACCCTGCCCTAGGGGATGGTGTGGGAGTTGCAGTTGGAAGAATCCAGGTGGCGGTGTTAAGTGAACTGAGTGACATCAGGTGCCAGGGTGAGTCACTAGGCTGGGAGGTGGGCAGGGAGCATCACTGGCATCCCAAGAGCTGCCCTAGCAACCTCTCCTTCCCAGGTTACTTGCTCCTGGGGCTCCTGGCCATGCTGCTGGCCGTGGAGACATTCTCGGAGCTGCCACAGGTCCGTGCCATGGTGAAGTTCTTCGGGTCCAGTGGCCCTGTGACCGTTGAGGACCAAGGTGGTATCCTGGGGCAAGATGAACTGGCTCTGAGCACTCTGCCCCCCTCAACCACAGCACCAGAACAGGCCCCAGCTTGCTGACAAGTACCAGGTGATGTTGTTGAACTTCTTTCAGGTGGAGAAGCCTGAGGAGGAAGCCTCTAGCAATGGGTGCGAGGACTTCAGGGAATAATTTGTTAATAAAAAATAGAACGGGCAACAACCCCGACTGTGCTTTTGTCTCTTTCCTACGGTGATGAACAACCCAAACCCCCATCATCCTGCGAAAGCCGAGGTCTCGCCTCCATAGGCATCTGGGAACCTCAAAGCCGGCACGGCTCCATTTAGCATCGCAGGCAGACAACCTTATCGGCCTAAGCGCCAACCCCTTCCGTCCATTGAAAACCCAGTTGTCCTGAGAAAGGCCCGGCGTGGTGTGGCCTTGTCCAACTTTATTGCTCACATGGAACAGGAAGCGGAGGAGGGCGGGGAGCAGCAGTTCACAACCACCCGCTCCCCTGGGGCTGGCCGCCCGGGCCCTGCCTCCGGGTAGGGGGTCTGCAAGGCGCTCCGGGGACCCCCAGCCCCGCAAACACACACATACACACATTCACTCACTCACTCCCAGGAACAAATAAATACCGCCCAACGGCGCGGCCGCCCAGTCGCTCCAAGTCCATTCCGGCCGAGGAGACGCCCGACCTCTCCCGGTGAAGGGGCTACGGCGGCCCCTACAGGCCGCGCGCGGCATCCGAGAGGACCCGATCGTCCGGCGCGCAGGCCTGGGGCGGCGACCCCGCGCGGCGGCAGAAAAGCTGAGGACTCCCCGGCAGCGACTGGGTCTCAGCTCAGCACGCAGCGTTCGCGCCGGCTCAGCTGCCGGCTCAGCTTGCGGCGCCGCTGCTCCAGGCCGCGCTCCAGGCGTTCGTCCTCCTCCAGGGCGCTGAGAGGGAACCCGTGCAAGTCAGCCCCAGCGGCGGGCCAGGCCCAGTGCTCCTCGGGAATGCACCCCGGGACCCTCCCCTGCTCCCGGCGCGGTCCCTGCCCCACTCACATCCGCTCCTTGTGGTCCAGGTCCCGGACCAGCTCGTCGCGCTGGTTCACCAGCGACACCAGCTCCTCCAGCAGAAGCTGCTCTCGGTGCTGCTGCGCGGTCGTTTTCAGCCAGTCTGAGGGCGGAGGAGGTGGAGGAGGGTCAGGAGTCACCCGCCCCTGTTGTCCTGGGCCCCAACCCCTCGGGTTCCGTCTCCTACCTTCGATGGCCAGCATGGCCCGTAGCTCACGGCTCAGCAGCTCGAACCTCCGTTCCAAGTCCTGCTCCTCCATGCTGGGGGTGGGGGTGCCAGGTTAAGGAAAGAAACACCGAGGGCTGGAGGGCTGGGCCGGGGCTCTGACCACTCCCTGCCCGCCCCCCGCATCCCTGTCCAGTTCCCGCGGAGGGCTGGGCGGAGGGCAAAGTGTTCTCTTTTGTTCCAGCTGTTCCCCAATTGCTGGATCTTTATATTGTCTCCTCCCACCTCTCCCTTTTTTAGAATAAGAAACCCAGAGAAATTATTTGCATGAGCATCACTCATAAACAGCAAATATTAAACTAAAATTATTTTGAAAAATGATCCAAAATGCAAATGGAAGGTTAAACCACCAACGCCACACAGGACTACAAAGGCAATGATGGCCAGAGTGGCTTGTGACCTCACTAGGGAAACCAGCTCAGATCTCACTGGGCCTGGGTTTTCCCGACTGTAAAGGAACAAAGTCAAACTGGGCACTCAGCCCTGACGTGGCTGCACCAAATTTTTATCTCATTAGTAAAAATAGCACCAATTTAAGAGGTACACACTTTATACAGGAAATTAGATAGGGAAAAAATTAAGACGGCTTGCAATTTTTCAAAAAGATCTTCATAAGAAGAAAAAGGCAGTGATGAGCCCGAACCAAAGTAACTAAGATTCCCTGCTCTGCAGGCCCCGCCCCGGGGTAGGGGCGGGGCCTGGACGGAGAGGGGCTAGCACTCACAGCAGCTGCAGCTGGTCCTGCCTCCGGATGAGAGCATTCTTCTTGTTGACCAGTGTGAACCACTCCTGAATCAGTACTTCCTCCTGCAGCCTGTTGGCACCTGAACCGGGTCAGGAGAGTCTTCAGGCCTGCCACTGACTCCCGTGTCAGGAGCAAGCCAGTGCGGGCTTGAGGAGGAGGCCTGCTCCCTTGTGGCATCTCAGAAGCCAGAGTTGTGTGCTTCCAGTGAGCTGCTTTCCCGCTTAGGGCCTCAGCATAATGACCCCAGTCTTGCCTCTTCCCAACTCCTCCCAAGTTCAGGAAAGGCTGCAGGCCTGAGCAGATCTGGTGGCATGTATTGGAGAGTGGACTCCAGATGCCCGCCTCACCTGACTCCATGAGGCTCCTCAGCTGCATCTCCACCTCGGCTGCCCGCCCGTCTATCTGCCTCTGCTCCTGTTCCAGGGCCTGTAGCTCTGCGCACACGTACTGACTTGTGTCCTGGAACCGTTGCTGGGGTAGAAAGGGGAAGGCAGTGGGCTCAGCCCAGGCTCTGACTAAGAAGTGCCCACCCATCAGCTTCTCCCACCTCGGCCCACCTTACCAGCCCAGCCTCCTCCCCTGGGCTTGGCGGGGGATCCTCTGATGGGGGACTCGCACCTACAGACAGAAACCAGGATAAGGTACCCCCAACTTACACCTGCCTCCAAAGAGGGCCCCAGTTCAAGATCTAAGCAGCCTGAGCTTAGCTGGGTCACCACCCCTTCAATACTACTCACCAGGCGGCTGCTGTGGGGCTGTGGCTGTGGGTGGGCTGGGGGCAGGGCTGGGGTCAGGGCTCAGGCCTTCCTGTGGAGGAAAGAGACAGTGAGGGTTTGGAGGGGTTCCTCATTAAACCCGCCCTGTGGCCAGCCAGAGCCTCACTCACGTAGGGAGGGCCCTGGATTCCACACCCTGCCCACCCTGGCTGTCTCCAGTCCTGCATTCACAGTTCTCCACCCCTCCCCACTCTAAGGAAAGTGCCTCCTCAAAGGAAAACCACGGCCTGCACCCTCTGTGGCCCTGTGGTCCTGGGCCAGTCCACTCCCACTCTCTGAGCCTCATCATCTTCATTCCTGAGGCCCCACAGGGCTTTGGTGAGACTCGGGGGTGAAAGGCTGGGAAGGGCCCAGCTGAGGCCTCTCCTTCCCCCTCTCACCCCCTCCTCCATGGAGCTCCCTCAGGCCACCTCCGATTCCCATCATCTAGTGTGGGCATCTCCATCATGGCTAGGGGCCCACACAGTGTCACTGAGCTGGCCTGATGCTGCTATCCCGAGCCAGCACCTCCACCTCGTGGCCAAAAGGGGGCGCCCTCCCACCTTATCAATACCCTTGCCAAGCAACTGCCCCACTTCGCATAACACTCAGAACAGGACAGTTCGCTGGACCTACCAATTTTAGCCTGGAAGGGCAGGGTTGGCCCCTGATGTGCCCTGCCCCTGGTGATTTGCTGGGACTGTCAGCCCTGGGCCCCCCCCCACTTTCAACTTAGCTGATAGCCTGGCCCCCTTGATGGCTCCTACTCTGGCCACCTTTCTAGGTCACAGGGCATGGAGAAGAGGCTGAGCCACCCCACTGTCCACCCCGCCCTGTACTTCTCTGAGAGGCAGCCCTGGACGCCCCTTGCTTAGGTGCCATCCTCTGGCCTGAGTCAGTGGCAGGTCTCCTCACCAGCCACTACCCACGTCTGCTGACTCTGCCCTCAAGCCACAACTGAAAGGTTTTCCCAAAACCTCCACCACACCTACCTCAGCCCCCAGCCTTGTTGCCAAGGCCTGTTGGCAGCTCCAGCCTCAACTCCCACTATCGTGAACTCCGCCCAGATACCACTCTCTGGCCACAGCCATGGACTTTCACTTCTCCAAATAGTTTCCACAGCCTGGAGTCTGCCTGCACCAACTTGACCTTCATGACCTAGCTCATCTCTTACTCTTCCAGAGGCCCCTTTGGGCTCCCATGCTCCTGTCTCCCTCCCTGACCTTTGTGCATCCTGAAGCGCCCCCTGAGCCCCAGGCTGGGCAGATGCTCCCCTCGTGGCCTCCTGGGCCTCCCCCATCACAGTTCGGACGCCCTACTCCATCATGGCTATTGGTTAGCCATATCTCCCTGACCAGAGGTAGTCCCTGAAGACAGGGTGGGGCCCAGAGAATTCACTCGGGGTACACAGATTACCAATAATAGCTGACACTGATTAAGCATTCACGTGTTGGGCATTGTGCATGTATTGGCTCATTTAGTTTTCCCAACAAGCCTGGGAGGCAGGGACGACCACCATCCCATGTTACAGATGAGGAAACTGAGGGTCAGAGAAGAGGCTAACAAAGGCCTGGTCTATGGCCCAAGGTTATCTAATCTAAAGGTTTGTTCCCAAGTCTGGCCACCAATTCGCTGTTTGTTTCTGCGTTGGTCACACCCACTGAGCCTCCGTTTGTGTCTCTGTATGTAAAATGGGGAGAAATCCCAGCCCTGTGTAACCTGGGGTTGCAGGTGCTCCAGAAAGGCTTCTAGGGGGCAAATACAGCTCCCTTTGGAGTGAGCACCCTGAAGTGGTGGCTCAAGGCCACTTTGCAAAGAACTTTCATATGTTTGTCTGTCATCCTCAGGAAAAGGGCACAGAAAGGTTGAGTGCCTTTACAGGGTCACACAGTTAGTCAATAGTGCTGGGCCCAGTAGAGGGCGCCATTTAAGAGTTCAGGCTCAGAACTCGGGTTCACACCTGCATCAACTCCTTTTGCTTTTTCACCTCCCTGAGCCTCAATATTCCCACCTGAAAAATGGGATAGTCATTCTTTCCTGGAAAAGGCATCATGAAGAGTCAATGGGGAGTCGTGGGGGCGGGCCAGGCAAGGCACACAGCAACCTCCAGGGCAGACAGAGGCAGGAGAGTGGAGAAACCCCAACCTCAGCAGCAACTGAGCTTACTCACAACAGGCCTGATGGGAAATCCAACACTTCCTCATGTCTGATCCAAATTCCCCTTTCTACACCCTTACGTGTGGCCCCTCCTCCAGCAGAGGCACACTGCCCTCCTCAATGCATTGCTTCAACCCCACTCCATCTTCAAGGTGCCTGACTTCATCCCACTCCAGGATTTTGAGAGTTCCCAAGGGAGAGGCCAGGCCCAACATCCTCCTGCTACACATGTGAGCATGGGGGACAGAAGTGACCAACAAGGAGGAGTCCTCTCCAGTCCCACAGGTCAAATATCTCTGTGGGACAAGGGCTGAAGGGAGACTGGCTTGGAAGGACCAGATGTTGGGACTTGGGCCCAGAAGACTGAAGTATGGAGCTTCCTCTTTAAGATTTAAAGTGCCACTGACATATATTAATGAGGCTATGTCCAGAGGCCAACAGTCAGGCCGGGTGGCTGTGTCCCTCTGACTTCTGTCTATTATATCTCTTGTGGGTGCCTCTGGGGCTCTCCCTGTCTTTCATCGCAGTTTCAACGCTGCGCCTCTGACCCTGCACTCAAGGCTACTACTGCCCAGGTGGGCCTCATCACCACCTGAGGACCTTACGGTGGAGATGCCTGACAGTTCCCTGCATGAGACCTGAGCTCTCCTGCTGCCACATTTTTGCTTGTGTGGGTCCCTCCACTTGAGAACCACCCCTCCCATTTTCCCCTGGGAAACCTATCCATCCTATTGGCCTGACTCAAATGGCTGCTTCTTCCAGAAAGCCTTTCCTAGTTTATTCCCTCCTTTCCTTGGAGCTCTGGGGTCATCCCAAGGCAGCTGAAGGCTTGGAGTGGCCTGACAGCTGCTCTTTCTAATCACAGGCAGGGCGATGCAGTGGGTGGAACCCCAGCTGGACATCCCATGGCCTGGACTTCAGTGGCTCTGAGTCCTTGAGCAAACCCCTGCTCTCTCTGGGACCATCTCCACGTCAGTGAAGTGACCACGTGACACCCTGGGAGACTGACCTGAAATGGGGGAACATGGGTGCCCAGCGGGGTCTCCCATCTCCAACTTCCCATTATTACAGAAGAGAAGAAATTGCCCTCCAGTATCTGGAGTTAAAGATCCAAGTCAGAGAATCTTGGGGTTGGAAGGTCCTGGAAGCCCCCCTTGAGTATAGAAACTCAAAGCAGCAATGGTTGCTGGTTAACCCCTGGCCACCCGCAGGGAAAGAAACACCCTAACACACTTTACAGTCCGTAAAGAGCACCGGCTCAGTGCTGACAACATGGAGGAGCCTTCTGGGCACTTCCTACTACAGCCCATGATTCCGCGAACTGGGTGCCAGCTGTAAAAACCACTGACATATCCCAAGGCTAGAAGCAAAGGCCAGGACCCTGCCCCCGCAGCCGCTCCAGGCCTTGCTCACCTGTGTCCCCTGACCAGGAGCTCACTACGTCTCCAGAGGACCCTTCCGCAGGTATCACAGTCCCTCCAATCAACAAGCGCCTCCATGCATCCGAGTCCCCAGCCCCGAAGCCTCCAGCCCTCTGCTAGCTCTGCCCTTGGGGCCCCTCAGGACCCGCCCCTTCTCTGCGCGGCTCCCCACGACCCCCACCACGCTATGGCGAAGCACTCACCGCAGCCGCAGTTCCGGCAGCTCCCGAGTCCGCGTCGTCCACAGAGAAGGAGTTGCTGTTCCGCAGCCTGGAGCGCCTCTTCTTTAGCAGGTCGGCGTCGCGCACGTGAGAGAAGGAGCCATGCGCCCGGGGCGGGGGCACCGGCCCAGCTTCCCCGTTTACGGATGGCCGCCGCGGCCGCGCGCCACCCCCTGTGCCCGGGGCCCCGGCCCCAATGACCGGCCCCTCGGCCGGGGGCACCAACGCTCGGGCTTCGCGGTCATCCGCTGGGGCCTCTGCAGAGCGCGCCTCCTGGGCGGTCTCGGCCCCGCAGTCCTTGGAGGCCACCTCAGGGGCCGCCCCGTCTGCACGGCTCACGGCCTCCTTCGGCTCCTCGGCCCGATGCTCACGGAGCCGTTGCGCCAGGCCGCCAGCGTCCAGGTCGTCGGACGGACTGGGCTGGGCGCTGGCCACGCGGTATGTGCCGGCGCCGCCACCGCCCTCCAGCTGTACCAGCTGCAGCTCTTGCCCCGTGCAGAAGGCGCGGATCTGGCACAGGTACGTCATGACGATGAGCTTGTCGGGAACGGACAGCAGCACCATGTCCGCTGGCTCCAGCAGCCGCGATACGCCCAGGGCCGCGAAGCCATCGAAGGCCTAGAAACCGTGTGCTCTGGGTCAGCGCTGCCACTCAGCCCTGGACCACCCAGGATCCCTGCGACCTGCGCTCCAGGGTTTGCCTAGCAACGCCCTCACCCTCCTATTGGGGGAAATGTAACAAGAGTCCACCCTTGTGTTACCCAGCAACTGCGCACCAAAAAGTTGTTTTGGAAAAACCATCTACTGGAAATATGCTTAAAAAAAAAAAAAAAACGAACAACAACAAAAAAAACCCCTAAACTAAAGAAAACAATTTAAAAGACTAAAAGAGTGAAAAAATGGCAGAACTTTCAAAAGCCACAGCTGGGGCCCAGCAGCCCACAGTTTCTTCTCCTACAGACAGATGCCAAATCTTAGCCCTAGGCCATCCTTCCCTCCAAGCATCAACCCTCCCCATCTCACCTGCTTGTTGTTCTGTTTGATGTTGAGTGGGTTCAGGGAGGCATAGTCACTGTGGAGAGAGCACTGGTCAGAAGCTGGCTTCACACTGCCCTCCCGGCAGGCTCCCAGGTTCGTTCCCACCCCCTCTGGCAGCTCACATCTTGTCTGGGTAGAATCGGTGCAGGATGGCACAGAAGGCCAAGCCGTTGCGCCAGGACGTAGTGAAGTTGGTGATGCGGATGCCACGGTAGCCAGCGGTGACTTCTTGGCACCACTCCAGTAGGGACTGGCTGGAGCTGACCGGTGCAGCCGGTACCTGGTGACACAGGGATGAGCTTAGGGAATGTGAACATGGAACCTGTGCCCTCCGCCCCAGGCATAAAACGGCCCCTGCTCTGCATTTGCAGGGGTCACCAGAGACTAGTGGCCAGAGCCTTGGGGCCAGGAAAAAGGGTTTCCAGCTCCAGGGTTATCTACCAAGGTCACCTAAAGGTCAGTGGCCCCCAGGCAAGATCTGAGGTCACCAGTAGCCACACCTCAGATCAGCCCAGAAAATCAGCTTAGAGATGTCCAGTTCCATGCAGCCCAGGAAAGACAAGGTGGGGGAGCCAGGGCATCCTGAGAGAGGAAGGGGTGAGGGGGCTCCTTGAAGCTGAGCCCGTCCCACCCCACCCCAGTTGACCAGGTGGGTCCATGCAGAGCCGCCGTTAGCTCAGCCCAGGTTAGTGGGAAGCAGAAGACTGGGCCCTCGGCGGCCCCCATCCCTACCTGGCTGCCCGGCAGCCTCCTGTCCTCTTCAGGCTCCTCTGGGGAAGAGGTCCCTGAGGGCCTGGGCACCTCAGTCCCTGCCCCACTGGCCACCTGCGCCTCCATCAGGCTGGCCTCTGGGAGGCTTCCCTCAGCTTCTTTTCCCTTCTCGATTCCCGAGACCCCAGCCTCTGCTTCTTGGGCCTCAAAAATACCAGATTGGTTCTCTGGAGGCCCTAAAACTTCCATCTCTGCTTCCTGGGCCCCCAAAACCCTAGACTTGGCCTCTGAAACCTCCAAAACCCCAGCCTCTGCCTCCTGGACCCTCAAAACTATGGTCTCTACCTCTGTTCCCTGGGACCCTAAAACTCTATACTTAGTCGCTGGGACCCTTAAAGCCTCGTATATGAGGGTCCCCCCGAGCCCAGTCTCTGCCTCCGGGACCCCCGAGATCATAGCCTTTTCAACTTCCGAAACTATAGTTTCTGTCTGTTGAGTCCCCAGTCCCTCATCCTCTGCCCTTTCGACCTCTGGCTCTGAGACCCCTGAATCTCCCACCTCTGTCTCCTGGGCCCCTGCTGTCTCAGTCTCCATCCCTGGGACCACTGAACCCCCAGATGCTTTCTCTTGGGTCCCCAATACTTCAGCTTTGGTTGTCTTAGTCTCAAACCCTGGAGCCTCAGGACCCCCTAACTCTGTTTCCTGGGTCCCTGATATCTCAGATTTAAACACTGAGACCTCTGAAACCCCCACCTCTGTCTCCCAGGTCCCCAATATCTCAGCCTCTGCCCTCCCAGCCTCTATTTCTGGTACCCCAGGACCTCCCACCTCTGTCTCCTGAGCTGCCAACACTGTAGTTTCTGCTATCTCAGCTTCTGTCTTCAGTACCCCTGAGCCCCCATGTGTCTCCTGGGTCCCCAATATCTCACTCTCTTCCATCTTAGTGTTTGTTCCCAGAACTCCTGAACCTGCAGCCTCTGTTTTCTGGGTCCCCAGTACCTCACACTCTGCCATCCCAGTCTCCGTCCCCAGGGTCCCTGAAACCCTCACCTCTGTTTTCTGGGTCACCAATTCTTCAGACACTGCCAACCCAGCAGCCTCCGTCTCCTGGGCCCCCAATATCTCAGCTTCTGCTGTCCTAGTCTCTATCTTTGGGAACCCTGATCCCCCTGCTTCTATCTCCTGGGCCCCCAATACCTCTGACTCTGCCAACCTGGTCTCTGTTCCCAGGACCTTCAAGTCCCCAGTTTCTGCCTCCCAGGCCCCCAGATCCCTAGACATCACCCCCTGTTCAGCTGCTTGTGGGGCCCCCTGGTACCTGCTCACCTGGGGCCCGGTGCTTGCTGCTCCAATAGAGGGGCCCTGCTCCAGGCCTGTCCTCCCAACACCAGAGGCTCCATCCCTCAGCTCTGCACCCTCTCTCTCCTGGCCTACAGCAGCCCTGACCCCCTTGGGGTCACTGAGATGTATGGAATGCCCTCCAGGCTCTGCTGGGGGTGGGCTCTGAACTGTGGGAGACTCATCTCCGGTCCTGACCTCTGTCTTCCCCTGAGAACCCCTTGGAGGAGCCTCAGGAGTCCCCTTGAATCTTGCTTCAGACATCAGCCCTGTAGCCTCTGGTCCCTTAGTGTCCACATATCTCACGTCTGCTCTCTGCTCAGTATCCACTTGACTAACTTCTGAACTCTCTTCAGCCTCCCCAGCTCTAATCTCTGACCTCTTAGTGTTCACTCCCTTGACTCCCGACTCCTGCTCAGTGTCCACCCCAATGGCCTCTGGCCTGTTCCCAATGGCCCTCTCCTCAACCTTGGCTTTCTGCCCACCCAAAGAGTCTCTGCAGCTTCCACCCTCAATGCCAGGGCCTGGCCTGGCTCCCTGAGCCTCTGTCCCTTCCTGAGGGCTTGCCTGGGCCTGGGGCTCCCCAGCAGAACCCATCCCTGCTGGGCGAGCCCCTGAGGCTTTGGGGGCCTCATCCTTCCCTTGGGGGACTGAGGGCCAGGGGGCATCAGAGCCTTTCCGGAGCCGAGGGGCTGGGGCGGGGGCCGTGTCCTGGCCTGGCTGTCCTGAAGACCTGAGGAGAGAGCAGGAGGGGGTATTGGGAGGGTTCACTTGGCCCCCACTCTTAGCTCCACCCCCCACCCTTCAGATCTTCACATTGCACCGGAGAGGCAGGTTGGTAGGGGGAGTGCAGCTCCCTAAGAGTGGGCAGGGGATGGGGGTGGAGCTGGTTCCAAAGCTCACCTCGTCTCTGGTGGGGTTCCCGGGGGCCTTGGAGCCTCAGGCCCCACTTGGCCCCCTACTACAGCAGCTGGTTCTGACCCCTGGCCCCGGGAGGCCCTGGATGGGGCCGCAGGGGCACTCACAGGCACTGGGCTGGTATCCTCAGCACTAGAAGGGCTGGCAGCTGGGGAGAAAGAACAGAAGGGAGTGTTGAGGCCTGGGCCCTGTGACTAGAGGTCCGGTCCCCACCCAACCCAGGCTTGGGCCTCACCTGCCTGCTGGGGCCGTATTCGGCCCTCCTCCTCCTCCTCACAGAGTGTCTTCAGCTCCCGAGGGGGATCTGGGGAAGGGTTTGGGGGGACAGGGTCAGCTCAGGGCTGGGCCATGCAGGTCTGACCCCCACCTCCCTGCAACTGGAGTGCTAGGCCTACCTGGGAAACACCCCGGCCTCAGGGTACCGCCCCAGCCTGCGAGAAGAGACAGGCCCAGGGATGCAGAGAAGAAAAGAAGGAAGCACAAGGAGAGGCAGAAAAAAAGCCTTAACAAGCAAAAGAAGCGGGGAGGAAGCTAGTGACTGAGCGCGAGGGTGGCTGGTGAGGGCAGTGAGACTGGACTGCAGGCCCGCTCTGCACTTTCGGCCCAGCTGTCGTGGGCAGCTACAGAGCTGGGCGGGCACCGACCCAGGAGTGAAGAGAGGGCCAAGGGTACGGGGAGGCACTGGGAACCCATCCTGCAGGACTCGGCTAAGGACCCAGGCCACCACAGGACTAGGGGCCAAGTCTGGACAATCAGGGGTACAGGGCAGGTTGGGGCTGCCTGGGCAACAGTGAGTTCCCATCGCTGGGTGTGCACAAGGTGGCTCTGCCCCAACACAGCAAGTGGCTTATGGCCTAGGTCATTTCCCACACTCCTAGGTCTTGGTGGTCTCAAAGCATGGCAGGCTGTGAACCCACCTGATTGGGGGACACGAGCCCGGGCCTCAGGGGCCCCTGGACCATTAGCCTCTTCCTCGTCACTCTCAGCAAAGTCGTCCAAGTTGCCCACGTCACTAGGCTTCACGCTCATAAGGCTTGCAAGACTCTGCATGTCATCATCTCTGGGGGTCAGAGGTCAGAAGTGAGGGCAGGGGTCAGAAGTTGTAGACTGGGGCCAAGGAGAGCAGGTGGGCACTTACGTGGCACGGCCCTCCCGCAGCAGCACCCCTGAAAGGGTGAGGCTCAGCTCCGCATGCACCACCTTCACAGACTTGGCCTTCAGCCGCAGCCGCAGGGGAACCTGGGAAGGCACGGGCCCTGCGTGGCGGGCCAGGTCCACTTCGGCCGAGGCGAGCACCTTCCGCTGCCCCTTGGACTCCTGTGGGCCAGGGGGAGGGGCTGGGGGCATGAGCAGCAGTGCTGCTCCAGAGTCCCCGATACCCCAGGTCCCAGACCGCCCCAGTCACTCACATTCTCAATAATAAAAGTCCACTCTTTGGCCTCATACTGGTCCACATGAGGGTCCTGGGAAAAAGGGACGCTGGTGAGTACAGGGCTTCCGGGGCAGGGGCAGGGGCAGTGCAGGGAGCAGAGCTGGCGCTGCCTCCGCGGGTGTTTGGGTGGCGTCTTCACCATGCTGGTCCATCTCGGCTGGGATGCTCCCAGCATTTCCTGATCCCAGCTGTGTCTCCCGCTGTGCGTGGCGGGTAAACACGCCCCCCTCCAAGAGGACCTCCAGGCCGCTCGCGCTTAGTAGACCCCTGATGTAATTCTCGGTCTCACCCCTCTGTTCTTTCTTATTTGGATGGATAACCCACCAGGGACCCTCGTAGCTACCTGGGGCTGTAATCACCTGCCCAGTGCCTTCTGCGTGGAGGGCTAGAGACTCACCCTGTACAGGGTCACGGAGATGTCCACATTCTCAGGTACCATCCACACCACGGTGCCCCGGTATGGGTTCTGGATGCCCGGCTGCCAGCTGTGGGCCTACAATGAGCAGTCTGAGTCCTTCCCCAATCTTAACCTTCCCCCTCACCTTTTGCCCTTGTCTCCAACCTTGACTCCATCTTCTTCACTCTGTGGATGCTGCTCTGAACCTGAACCTGACCCCCCACCTCCATCAGTCCTCACTCGCTTTACCCACGCTCTTTCATTATTGGCCCCACCCCCAACCTGGACTCCCAGTTGGCATCTCCCCGACCTTGGAGCAGATGCGTCGATTCCGCCGGGTCCACACCACCACCAGCTTGTCCGGCTGCCTGGGCGGGGCAGGAGAGGAGAGGGGGCTACTCAGTCATGCTGCCCAGACCCCTCCATCTCCTCCAGGGTCTTTCCTCTGCCCACATACCCCTCCCCCAGGAGAAGGCATGGACAACCCCTTATCTAGGGCCACAGGGAATAGGGTGGGGCTGCTGAGGTAGGGTGGGGCCCAGGGCAGAAGGGCAAAGGCTCGATGTGGGTGGCCAGGGATTATGAAGAAGACAGGGAGACAGAGACATACAGAGAAACACAGCAAGGACTCTGCAAGAGACACACAGACTCAGAGACACAGGGAGAGATACACATGGAGTAAAAGTCCATTCACTTACACATATTTGGAGAGTGCATACTATAAACTCAGCTCAGTTTGGAGGTAGAGCAGGGCGAAGGAGAGCAAGACCCTTCGGGGCTGAGGACAAGGGAGGTAGGGGAAGGGTGCCAATCAAGAAGAAAAGTAAATTAACAAGGTGACTTCAGGGAGATAAGAGAGAGTTGCTAGGGTCTCCTTGAGTTTGGGTGTGGGAGCAGAGGCACGAGTCGGGGAGGGACGGGCTGTGTGAGGGTCTGGGGGACGCGGCTCCAGCTACAGGGAATGGTACATACAAGGTCCACAGTTGAGAGGAGGCTCAGGGTCAGAGGGAGGCGCAGAGGGTGAGAGGTGGTCAGAGAGGCAGAGGATCAGCTATTAGACACCCTCCCAGGGCCTTCCATGCCCGGTCCTTTGCTGGGTCCAGGGGCCCTGAAACTCAGCCACGCTCCCCACCTCTCAAACCCAGAGCCCTGGACCCCAGCTTTGCAGGGCCCCTGACTCCCATGTGGGGCATCGAGGAAGACTTCCAGAAGGTGATATCTAAGCCGAACAGCACGTGCCAGGGCAGACTCAGAGAAGAGGCAGAGACGTGGGGGAGACAGACAAACAGAGGAGAGAGTAGCGTGTGCAAGACCCAGTCCCAGACACAGAACTGACGTGTGGCTGGGCCTGGGAGAGAGAAGGTGCCTTTGGATTAGAGGGTCCGACTGCAGCCAAGGGGACTATGAGGCTGAGCCCCCATTGCCTGTACCCAGTCCCATGCCGGGACATGGGTTTATCCAGTTCACTGCCCCTGCGGAGGCTGTGCCAAGATAAATGGCTCTCCTGTCAACCTCTGAGGATGCTGAGGCCCAGAGAAGTTGTGGGCCAGACAAAGTCACACAGCTGACTGGAGAGCTGTCTGGTCTGGAGCCAAACTCCCCTCCCCAACCCTAAACTCCAGGCGATGGCGGAGTGAGGGTATCTGTGGGGACTTCCCAGAAAGGGGAAGTGGGCAGGGGGTGCTTCGGGAGGGCCAGGCCTGGCCAGGCAGCCTGACTCAGGCTGGGCACGCCCTCCTGGGAAACTCCGACCTGGATAGAGGCAGCTTCCTAGCCTGGGCTCCAGGCTCAGAAGCCCAGAAGGCCCTGACTGCCCATTGTGACTCAGCTGCGTTGACATTGCCCACACCCTCTGCCTGCTCTCCAGGACCACGCACCCAGGGTGCTGGCGTAGAAGGTAGAAGCCAGAAGCCAGAGCTCAAGTACCAGTTCTGTGCTCTGTTACCCCAGCCAGACGCTGTCCTCTCTAGGCCTCACCGAATGGAGTGAATGGCCCTCTGGCCAGCCCACTGAGACCTGGAATATGGCAACTACCCAAGTGACCCCAGCCATTTTTCACTTTCCTCCCATTGGACCCCATGGTCCCTTCCTGCCCCAGCAGCCCTTCCTCTTGGGAGCCTAAATTTAGCCCTGCCTGGTGGGTAAGGTCCCCACAGCTGTGCCCTAATCCAGCCAAGGGAAGCTGACACCAGTGAGCACATATATTTAGGGTGTGACGCAGGGGCCTGGGCAGCTGCGGTGGGGACATGTGAACAAGAGGCCCCTGGGCCCTTTGGCAGCCCAGGCTGGGTCCTGCACCCCCTCACTTCCCCCCACCCCACCACCTTGCCTTTCCAGGCCCTGTCCTCCCCAACCCACAACCTCCTAGGCCCTTGGACCCCTTTAAGCTGCTCCCACCTCCCTCCTCATCTCTCCTAGTGCTCAGTTTCCCCTTTTAAGGACATCGTGGCGATGAATCCAGCCTCCCAGAGCCCAGTCTGGCTGGAGGGGGGGTGGGTTCTCTCTTGCTCAATAAGTGGGCAGGGAAGGAGGGGACAACATCCTTGTTCAGAGCCGAACTGAAGTCCGTGGAGGTTTGTGCTCCAGCCCAGCAACCCACACCTCAAACGTTGCTCCCTTCCCCATGCCACCCTGAACCATTCCTCTGGCCAAAAACATGAGGCTTCCCTTTCCCCTGGCCTGAGCGCCGCTGAGGGAAGTGTGAGCACAGAGGTTCTCAGGCCCGGAAGTCCTGACCTCCACTCCCCCAAAGCTCCCACACTCCCCAACTCTCAGGGTCCCACAAGCTACAAGGGCCCTTCTGAGTGTCTGTGCCTGGGACACCAGGGCCCAAGCTGGGGTGGGGGCCCCTTTAGCCACTGGGCCAAGCTGCAGGGTTCTCTCAGGCTTCAAAGGCGGATGGGGTCCTCGCCAATCTGCGGGGTCCCCCAGGCCTCCGTCTTACTCACCATTTCTTGGTGCACTCCACCACCAGCTCGTGGTAACAGGCCACAAACTGGAATTTGGCGGCCCGCTTGCCCACGCGCTGCAGACGCTTCCACACCGAGGTCATGGCCCCTGCCGCCCTTTCCTCAGACCTGGGGCTCCCGCTGGCCGGCGACTGCTGACCCATCCCGCCGGACCCGACTGCAGGTCCCCATGGCCTCCCCGGTTC